ACAACATGCATCACAATTATTATTAGAAAAGCTGCTGTGAAATCAGGAATTTTAGGACACAACAATCCCAAACCCAGCCTTCGGTCCTGGAGGGACTGATGGACTAATGTGTGACACCAGGTAGTTAATTCAGCTAGTTCAGCTAGTTAGGTTGTTCAGCTAGTTCAGCTAGTTCAGGTAGTCACACTCTTCAGTGACATATAGTGGCAGCTGCAGGAACTACATCATTGATGAGAAAGCAACACATGGTGAGTTTTAGTCACTTTAATGTTCAGACATTAAACAAACCAATTAGCTTTAGTTTTACTGTGGCAGTCACAATCACTGATTAAAGATCTCAAGTCCCAGTTCTGGTTCAGCAGTAAAAGACCAGTTCAGGGATCTGCCCTCCCTGCACACCGGTCCCGTTGGTACTGTCCGACGAGCACTGAAACTGGAAGGTCACTTTCCCACACTGCACCTCGGTCATCCCCTCCTGACCAAAGTAACTGAGCTCGTTTCCGTCCAGGACGGCACTGACTGTGTAGAAGGTGTCCTGTTCTACCTGGACTGGGTGTTCAAACCACACAGGGAAAGTGCTGCTTGATCCGTCTGACAGGAACTTTGTAAGGTTCTGGGCAAGAATGGTTCCCTGCTTCTTCAGTTCAATCTTCACGCTGTACTCAGCCTTGCCGCCGCTCGACCCATACAGACCGAGTCCAGCTATGAAGATCCGGCGGTCCACTGCGAACTGGATGCTGTCGCAGCGCCCTCTGTAGCGCCACTGGTTGCTGCGGTAGGCTGAGGACTGGAAGCGGTGGCACCTCTGCGGTGCCAAGCCGGCCCGCTTCACCAGCGGGAACTCCAGTCTGGGTTTGTTGGAGGCAGTGAACCATAGGAAGATGTCATGAGTCTCTTTCAGTGTCAGGATGTCCGACTGCGCGGCCCCATCCGCAAACTCCTGCAGCGTCATGGAGGGGATCCGGACCAGGTACAGAGCCTTACCCAGCACCACCCGCTGGTTCCTGGGGGTCACAGCCAGGCCCTGACGTCGACACTCAGCTGCTGCCCAGCTCAGCGCCGCCTGGAAGATCAGGACCTCGCGGACGTTGAGCGAATCTCTCTGCAGGATGATCTCCAGCGTGGGCAGATCAATCTCACAGAAGCCTTCGGATCGCAAAGCCAGTTCGGCCTGAGCATCAATCACCTCCCAGCAGCGCTGTGTCAGCTCCGGCTCCTCGAACAGCCGGCTCTGAGACAGCAGGACACAGGCGTTCTTCGCCTCTAGAGACGTCTCCAGGAAGGCGACACAGGCCCTTGCCAGAGCAGGAACGATGTACTTCTTGGCAGCGTAGAGTGTGGCGAGCACTGTGTCCGCCCCCAACTCGATCTCATCGCTGTACATGTACCTGAGACAGAGCACACAGCAAGTCATTTTAGGGATCTGAACTGGACTCATTCACACAGACTAAAGAAAGTCTTATCACTGTGAGAACACTTCCTGCCAATATTCAATCTGTTGTCTGATAGTTAAGCCTTTTACTTATTTATCCCTTGGGGATCTAATCGAGGACCACTAGAAACCTCTGTCAGACACTTGAGTTTTTAATTTACTCCATAATGGACCGTTAAGACTCCCACCTAGAACCCTGGCCCTTTCTTCTAGATACCCCTGGTGTATACTGGAGGGGTGGCTGTAGATCCGGTGGAAGTGTAACCCCCTTTTCAACCAAGGCCATTTGAACCTCAGGGACTGGAAAACTGGTTCCAGTGCAGCACCTTTATTGGTCTAGAAACGTCTCGCAGGTTCTCATGGATCCTGGTGGTAGCTGCTGCTCTGGTCCTGCCTGACCCCCACTGCTAATATTACTGATATTATTATTATTATTATTATTCATTCCCCATCGTTGTGGATATTGTCGTCGTCATTGTTGGAGGG